CGATGCACGCCAGCCGATGCATCGGCGACGCACTGGCGACGTCGGCGACGCATCGGCGCCGTCGGCGCGGCGCGACTCGGGCTCCACATCGAGCCGCGCCGATGCATCGGCGATGCGACGAGATCCTCCGACCCTATCTGCTATGACCCCATCCAGAAGGCCTGGAGGACCTCAGGGCCCCGCCTTTGGACCGCCGCTCCGCGGGGACCCGAGCCTCCCCGTGCGCTGCGCCTGCGCCATGGCCCTCGGGCGGAGCCCTCCGGGCGCGGGCGCGGCCGCGGCGGAGGCCGCCCTGGCCGCCGCGGTGGGCGCGCAGTGGCAGGGGTGGCAGGTCTCAGAGGGGGAGGGGGAGGGGGAGGGGGAGGGGGAGGGAGGAGGCGGAGGAGGAGGAGGAGGAGGAGGAGGAGGAGGAGGAGGAGGAGGAGGAGAGGAGGAGGAGGAGGAGGAGGAGGAGGAGGAGGAGGAGGGCGACGAGGTGCCGATGCCGCTGTCCTGCCCTCGCGCTCGCCCCCTTCGGCCTCCTTGGAGGCTCGCGTCGCCACGGCCAGATTCGCCTCAAGCCGTTCTTCAGCACGCACCCTCGGGAGCGACGCCCGTCCGCCCGCCCGCCCCCCCCCCCCCCCCCCCGCCGCCGCCGCCCCCGCCCCCGCCCCCGCCGCCGCCGCCGCCGTCACCGTCGTCGTCGTCGTCGTCGTCGTCGTCGTCGTCGTCGTCGTCGTCGTCGTCGTCGTCGTCGTCGTCGTCGTCGTCGCCGCCACCGCCACCGCCGCCGTCGGCGTCGTCGTCGTCGTCGTCGTCGTTGTCGTCGTCGTCGTCCTTGTTGTCGTCGTCGTCCGGTCTCCCACAGGTGCGCCTCTGCGCCGCGGAGGCCCTGGGCGCCCTGCCGCCTGCAGAGGGCGCCAGCCTCGGCTCTCTACCGGGGGGCGGATGGGCGAGACCCTGCCTGTCGCTCCTCTCGGGCAGGTCGTCATGTCAAGTCGGGCACGCCCCTCTGGAAGCAGAAATATTCAAGAATAGTCAAATAATAATATGGGGGCGATTTTTCTATTATTTTTGGATACTTGTGAATATTTGGGGACTGTTTTGCATCTTCCTTTCAAAATCCGCCTGCAGGGGGAGATGCCCGACCTAATCGTAATGGGTGGTGACCTACATGGGGCCCAAAGGGGCCCCTGAAGGCCCCGTTAGGGCCTTCCTTTTCTTCGTCCCCCATGTGGGTCATCCTCAAGACCACCCGCCCGATCCTCTCGCTCCTGCTGCTCCTCTCGATCAGCTCACCCCATGATATTCAGGATATTGATACCATGTGTGCTTCGCCCCCACAGGAACGACGCGCGCGCCTCCAGAAATCTTGTAGCATAGGCTCTGTGGCGGTCGCTTTCTAGCTATGCGCTCGGGAAACGATCTACTACAAGATGGATGTACTACATGTTCGGGTCGGACGCACGCCTCCGAGGAGGACGCGTAGTACTAGTATGTCCTCCTGCTTCTCCTCTCAATGCAGGGGCAGCGTCAGGGTGGGGGCTCGGGAGCCATCTTGAGGCGCTCGTGAGGCCCTCTAAGGCCGTCTCGGACGCTCTAAGGACAGAACCGTGGAGAATGCAACATATCATTGCTAAATCACATGACAGGAATGTGTATTTTTCTTGGGCCAGCCGCTATGACATCCAAGACGGTTCAAGGGTGCCCACAACAGAGCCTCTGCACGGTCCCATGGAGCCATCTTAGAGTATGTTGGTTTGAACGGTTCCATGGGTCCATCTTAGAGTATGTTGGAAGTTTGGGTTCCGAACCGTGATCCTTGGGGCTCCTGGAAAAGTCATGCGACGCACCCCAGACGCGTAGAGGAATTCTGTGAGTAAGCGTCTGGGGAGGACTTGAGGGACCTGCGGGGGCCTCTTGGGCGCCCGTCGGAGGCTTGCGGGCAGTCCCGGGGCCCATTTTTTGGGGGGGGGATTCCGCATGTCAGTTCGTGTCCCTACTCTTGTGCCGCTCTTGAGGCTGTTCTTGTGGTTTCTGGGCCCCCTCTTGGGGGTTTTGGCGCTGTCTTGCGGCGATGTTGAGGGCCTCTTGGGCCGTCTTCGACCCTCCCAACACCAGCACATGCTAAATCACATAGCGAGAATATGCTTCCAGTGATTTTGGCCTCTTGGATGGCCCCTGCGCGCGCCCGTGGAACCATCTTCCGTGGTCTTCGGGGGATTATTCGAGCCAATTTCAAGGCGTGGGCCCCCAGCCACGCTCCCGAGGTCTCTGGAAGAGTCACGCAGCGAACCTGGGGAGCGCCCATGAATTTCGCGAGTGGGGAGTTTGCTGCCTTTCAGGCCTTTACAATGTGCAGCATCGTAATCCTCTCAGTGCCTGCGGCAATGTGGCGGATATTCGTGAGGAACAAACACAGTAGTGTGGGTGGGGGTAGGGGCACAAGGCACGTTTCGCGTATCCCTGCCGGCCGCTGATCTGCTCGCGCAGCCCCGCGCTTTGCCACGCTCGGTGGCACGTCTATCTCTGGCGCCTGGCGTGACAATGTACAATTCGTTCGTCTTCCCGTAGGTCTCGCCTCTGGGATGGTTGCACGTCGGCCGCCTGGCTCTCCTGGCAGCTCCTGCAGCCTGCCTTCAGCCCCCGGCGCCCCTCAGCTTCCCTCGGCGGCAGCTTCGGCAGCCGTGAGTGCGTCCGCTGGGTACTTAGGCTCCGCCCGTAGCCGGGGTCGACCTTTGACGCCGTCTGCGCCGTCGTTTGCGGCTGCGACCAACAAATCCCTACCAGCCCATCCAAGAACGATGCCCAGGGAAGCTACCCTCATTGGGGGAGTGTAGCATCATGTGGGAGCTCGGGGAGCCTCCGTGGACCAGAGGCCAGCGTTCTCCTGCGGATGGGCAGCTAGCTACTGGGAGCCAATACTGACCCCAGGTGCGCGACGCTTGGGCGAAGTGCGACACGCGTGCCAGGCATGCCACGCGTGCCAGTCGCGCCAGGCGTCCCTCGGGCCCAAACGTGGCAGGTTCGCCTGATGCTCCAGATGCGCCACGCGCTCCGCTTGCGCGAAGTGTCCCGCGTGCTCCATTTGCGCCAGGTGCGCCACGTTCCTGGCACGCGCAGAGTGTGCCAGGTGCGCCCGCGCACATCGGGAAACATGTCGGTCCCCATCATTCATTGCGGAAGCCAGGACCAAGTCGCGGCGGAGTGGCCATCATGATATCTGGTGGCCTTGCACGTAGCAGGCTATATGCCAGTACCCCCGCCGTCCCTGTCAAAAACGAATTCAAAGTGATCGCGGGGCGCCCGCGCATGATCCAGATATTGCCGCGAAGTGAAGTTTGTATTGCTTTTTGACAGGGATCCTGTGCACAGCAAGGTCTACGTTGGCACCCCCGCCGCCGCTGTCAACAAACAATACAAAGTGTTCGCGCCCTCTCCAGACATGGCCCATAGTTTGCCGCAGAGTGAACACACATACACACATGTGTGTATGTATACACAAGCACACATATATACACACACACACTTTATAAGTGTGTATAAATAGACATACATACACATATGTGGTGACAGGGGTGGCGGCGGGAGATCGTCATTGGCCCTGGTTTGTCGCTGGTCGGGTGGGGGTGGGGGTGCTTATGAATGAGGAGCAGTGATCAAAACACCTCTCCCAGACGCAAACTGCCTGGCTCACTCCCACCCGTCGGACAAACTGCTGCCCGAGAGGGAAGCCATGCGGCTGGAAGAGGCGAAACGCCTTCAGCCACTCACGCCCCGACGGGCTGCTGGGATTCTGCGACGGAGCTCTGCCGTGGAGCCCGTTTGCACAAGGGGGCCACGGCGGCGGGGACCTCCCGCCCGAGGTGCGGCTGGGCCAGACGGCGGCACCCCGGAGCTGGTGGTGGCCGCCCTGGGCGACGCCCTCCGGCGGGACGCCTCGTGGCGCGTGCAGGTGGCAGCCGCGCAGGGGCTCGGGGCGCTGGGCCAGCCGCCGCCCAGGCAAGGGGGTCGGACTGGCCAGTGCCAAGAACCAGGAGACAAGTGCTCCTCCTCCTCCTCCTCCTCCTCCTGGCTCCTCCTCGCTCCTCCTCGCTCCGACTCGCTCCTCCTCGCTCCTCCTCCTCCTCTTCCACCTCCTCCTACTACTCCTCCTCCTCCTCTTCCACCTCCTCCTACTACTACTCCTCCTCCTCCCCCATCCGCCTTCCTCGTGCCCAGGCCTCGCGCGGCGCGTCAGCTATGACGATGCGTCCGTCCCGTCAGATCTGAGACGACAATCGCGCGGCGACGTTCCGCCGTAAGTCCGACGCAGATCTGACGTGCCTCCGGCGTAAATCCGACGCGAGTCAGTCCGACGTGAGCAACGCAAAACACGCGGAAATTCGTGCGTAAGCGCCCTCGTTTCCAGTGGCGTGCCGCGCGGGTGGTCCGCACAAACCACCGCGCAAGGTCACTCTGCCATCTCGCGCAAAACCAGTTTTTTCCGTCCCTCACGTGGATCCCCCGTAAACTGGGTCTCAGGTTGCCGCGCGAGGCTTCCAGGATTGCGAAGGTCTTACGGCCGGCGCCGCCGACCCTGAAGGGGGACGACGCCGACGACGAGGAAGACTACGACGGCGATGACGAAGACGCCGACGACGCCGACGCCGACGCCAACGCCGACGCCGACGCCGATGCCGCCGCCGCCGCCGACGACGACGACGACGGCGACGACGACGACGACGATATCGACGACGCCGACGCTGACGCCGACGCCGACCCTGAAGCGGGACGACGACGATGACGACGACGACGAGTAAGACTACGACGGCGATGACCGGCGACAAAGCCGACGCCGACGACGACGACGACGACGATGACGCCGACGCCGACGCCGACGGTCGGACCGTGGCGGGGCTGCGGGCAGACCGTGGGCAGGGGCAGCCACGGCCCCGCACCTTTGGGGACCTCGACGGGCGATGGATACGAACATATTCGGGCAAGGGAGGGAGGAGGGAGGAGGGAGGAGGGAGGAGGGA